GGACGATATAAACATTACTCCTTTCCTGAACACGGCGTTTACTGGACGCATTGCCATATTAATATCCATAAAAGTAGACATCCGGTACATCAGTTATTCACTTGTAGGCATAATAATAAATACTGTATAGAATGCACGACTCGGAATTGCATTATAATGAGCCATTTGGGGGGTATAATCAGACTATTTAATTGAATTAGGAAACCGCAGCGACTGTCAATAAATATGATACCATTATTAAATGTCTACAAACGAGCCATTATCACCAAACCAATCATCACACAGAGTGTTGTTACTGGTATGTCACTGTCTCATCCATATTTCTGTGAATTTATTGATCACCATCTTTCTCGGTCTAGCACTGCTGTTTGCATCGGGAGACATGATCGCACAAACGGTGGTAGAAAGGAAGTCGTGGGATGAATTTAGCATTCCGCGATTGGGAAGAATGACGTTGTTTGGTGGCTTTCTAGCAGTACGTTTCACAAGTTACTAAGACAGACGTCTTGAATGAGCACAATATGAGCTTACGGAAGGAATGCCTACATTTGTGAGTAAGGGACCAATGATAACAACATGGTATAGATTTTTAGAAAGATTTATCAAGATTAAAAACAAAAACGTAGGTGAGTAATCAATTGCACCAATTAAGTCCAATTCTAATTGAAATTATTCATCAAGTTCGTACGTATTGTTCCGTAAATCAGCGCTTCTCAGTAAAGTAACGTTAGATCAGACACTTTTCGCGCCTTCGTTCATAGCCATCTTTTTTACAGCCCAAGGCATGATGGAAAGGAAATCGCGCAATCAAATCCTGGAACAGCTCGAATCGGTAGGTATGTTGCGAAACTTTATTGAAGGATTGCAATTAATTTCCTGTTCATCTAAGATATAACCTATTTGCGTTTTTATTATAGGCCTATCCGACAGCGTTGAAGAATAATTACAAGCTCTGGCCAGCTGTTCAAATTATAAATTTCCACTTGATTCCGCTACAACACCGCGTTCTAGTAGTTAACACAGTTGCAATTGGCTGGAATACGTACTTATCATTAGCAAACAAATCAGACAACAACCTGCTCTAATGCTCAATCATTTATGCTCGACTTTTCAGATAAACTATGTGAAAAAGATTCGAAAGCTAACATAATTATATACATGATCTAGTGAATAACAAATTGTAATAATTTCTTTTTAACCGTAATCAAAAGTTGTTATATTGGATTCTCTATAGCTTGGTTATTAAATAACGTCCGATGACTCTAATTCTGCAATCCTTGATTGTTTGAAGGAAGACATTAGACCTTATTAAAAGTTCAAACAAAAAGATCAATTAATTCTGGAACCTTTTTCGTCTGGTAAACTACATTCACTGCGTGTGTGTTTCCACACGCGCTGTAAATTAAATGTGATAAAATCTGATTCGAACATTTATTATGTTAACGAGTCTTCCCAAATAAAACCTTTCAGCCTTCAACTGTTTGGCCTCTTCAAGGGTCTTGACAACCAATTCTATTATAGCTTTCGACTTGGTAGTTATTTCGTATCGTTCGGGTTCAGAATCATTGCCTGCTAGTTTATTTGCCCAAGCTTCCTCTTCCCAAGCTTCATTCCAGTCGACGTCCCATCCATCTGCTTCGCCACCTTGTTTACTATTCTCTTTTCCTCTTCCATTAGCAAGATGTCATTAATTAACTAGTTATTATGGAATAATCAGCTTCACGCATTGTACTTATTGGAACATCTGAAATGTCTACAATTCTCTGCGCGAACTTAAATGAAAGCACTGTATCATATCCCTGCAATCGACTATTTTACTTGGTAAAACTCCAACCACTATATCTGAAATGCAACTATCATAACCAAGTACGTTTTCTGGAAATTTCAAGAATGCTCTTCACTTGATTATCAGAATACCAAGAGCTCAAACAGCATTGATCTTTAGTAAGTGCAGCATAAGAAACTTTATCTATTAGATTGCACGTCCCTCGCCCATTAAATACTTATTCGCATGTCTATCAGAATTAATCCAGATTTTATCATCAATTTTTTGGGGAGTGTTTCAAGATAAACTACGTTCAATGGCCGATTAGAACATATTTGTCGAACCAAGAGAATGAAGAATAACTAACCGTTACTCTTCCAATCGATACTATGTAAGGATCGACTCTTAGTACGAATTGACTCATAGTATTAGAGGCTTGATTTAGACACTAATAATTCTCATTAACCAATCGGTTCGAAATTTCCTGTTGGAAAAAAGAACCCCCCACCCCATAATATGGGGACCTGACGATCGCATTAGTAATAGTTTTTTTTAAAAATCCACAGGTTTCGAATTCCAACGAAAAACTATAGTAAAATTATGACAGGTATCTTGTGTTTACGCTTAGATTGGCGTTTTTCCTCGTTGAATTGTCTTACCAGCGTATACATTGTCTTCAGCTTACGCAACAGAACGCGCCGTAGCCATAAATGCAGTCCTCAAAGCCTGCATGGTAAGTCAAAGTGTCTTCCGCAGGCTTGTAGCGAATGAATCTATCACCAAGAAGGACAGATCCCCTGTGACAGGTTATCTCTCTTTTCATACTCTGGCACTACTTTTCCTGTTGCAATTAGCAACTGATTCCTTGCAAAATTCCATCTCTAGTGGCAGATTTCAGTGCCCAAGCCGTCGTAAATCTGATCCTTCATAAAAACTTCCCCGATGATCCAATCGTAGGGGAAGAAGATTCTGGAGACTTACGTGGTGAATCGGGCAAGCCTTTGCGACTGAGAGTATTGGAGCTGACGAATACTGTGCTGGATTCGCCAATTGATGAAGAAGAGGTTAGTAAGAATGTATGACGTAGCAACCTTGCCGATAATAACTAAGCATCATCTGACCGAGAATGTAAATTAAGCTACTGCAAGCTATTGACAGAGGATCATATGGCGGAGGTTCAAAGGGAAGTGAGTACACGTTATCTTATAATCAATAGTTGAGTTTGTTATTGGGTACTTTTGCCTAGACACGGAAGATTTGTATTGGTAGGAATGTGGACATTGGACCCCATAGATGGCACGAAAGGATTCCTTCGCGGAGAACAATACGCAATATGTCTGGCATTGATAATCGATGGAATTGTTCAACTTGGTGTTGTAGGTTGTCCTAACCTTCCAGTTGATCATGAACAACCAGACGGTGAAAAAGGTTGTTTGTTCATTGCTGTTAAGAATCAAGGCGCTTTCCAAGTAAGTTAATAATATTTTCACACAATCAGGAATATGGAATTACGTGATGGAAGCAGTTTAACGTTTAGGCAAGCTGGACTACGTTCAAACTCTACAAGGCTGCTATAAATAATGGTATATGTGCCAGACGTGTTTCGTGCCAATGAGAGCGCGGCTAATAACTTAAGCTGACCAAAATCTGTCCGCAAGTCTGTCTGTCGACTGGTCATGACACCGAGAGACGGAATAGTTTAATGAGTTTTTTTACTCTGAAATTTCCGTCTTGTGACGCGAAAAGATCATTCAAACCATCTTACATGTATTCAATCTTGCTTTTCGATAAAAGCGCAGCCTTTCGTCCACGGACGAGAAACCCGTTCGTTTTGCAGACGTCTCATCTCCAGAATCTGCCTCATTTTGTGAATCGACGGAAGCAGCACACTCGAATCACGATAATGCTACTAAAATAGCGGCGTTGTTGGGAATTACCAAGCCACCAGTGAGAATGGACAGTCAATGTAAATATTGTTCTGTTTCCAGAGGTGATGCAAACATATACTTGAGGCTTCCAGTACAAGAAGGTTATGAAGAAAAGATTTGGGTAAGCTTTTGATGTACCGAGCATTACAAAGTTGACAGTGATATAACGTCGCGACGTTTGCGGGGATCGTTTTAGTAATGCGCATAATACGCTATTGTAGGACCACGCATCAGGGTCTCTTCTTGTTGAGGAGGCCGGAGGGAAGGTCAGCGATTTGTATGGAAAGGCGTTGGATTTCTCTCTTGGGAGAACGCTGAAGTCTAACGTTGGCGTCATAGTAGCGCATCCAAATATTCATGCAAAGGTCTTGGAAGCCGTGCAAACGGTTTGCAATGAATAGGATAATATTATTTGACCATAGTAATAGCACTCATAAAGCATTTAATTTACTGAATAATGTCTATATTGATTTCTTTTTGTTTGGTTTCCTTACGAGATCCATTTCGTCTTTTTTAACGTTTGAAGCACGTAGACTCAGAAGCTTGAATTGATTATAGTAAATTATATTAATTAATGATACTAGTCTATTGAAAATTTGCGGGATTGAGCTCGTACCTTCTGCTTGAGTCTCCTCTCCTCTGGACTTTCCAGGTTCAGTAACAAGCACGCCATGTTGTATTCCAAGTTTGCGGCTTTAATGGTCTCTTCGTCCCATTCCTCTTCCACTGCGAGTCAGACAAATGATTTCTATTGTATGTAGTCTGAGAATTCTACTTACATATGTAATGATATCTTACCACATTCTCGTTCAAGATTTGCTTTGCGCTCCCTTTTTTTTTCTTCGAGTTCTCGTTTTATTCTGCTTTTTATTTTCTTGAGACCTTTTTTGGTGGGTGGGAGTTTCGTTATCGCTTTCGATTTTGTTGATATCCGAATATCCGTCATTTCGCTCGCTGGAAGAGTATTAGAATAGGTTGAATAGGCATCCAGATTATCGGGAATTTTACCTGCCATGTCGCACAACCTGTGCCAGGTCGTACCACAATTTCAGCCGGGTTAATTTTTGCTGAGTGAATCAAAAATATAATCGGCATTCATGTAAGCGAAGTGAAGCAATTTACGAGTGAAGAATGGGAAAAGCTTTCTCAAGAAACAGTACAAATATTATTTTAAATAGAGAAATTTTAACCTTTCAAATGAATCCCTCATTACATCTGACTTTTTGAGATCACCATATATTTTTTTGTTGAGATAAGCGTCCAGACTGGACAAACTCGACGTTTAGTTAAAGACGCGCTAAAGAATAATCTGACAACAATATGTGGAATACCATTTATACAAGACTTGAGTAAATTCTAGTAATAGTAGGCTTTTTACCCACCGGAGATTTGCCCAGTCAAGAAACATAAAGATAAGAATTGGAAAATAAAAGTATTAACGTTGTGACTCAAATTTTGAATAAATTTGTAATTTATTCTTCCAATTAAATACAATATGCTTCATGAATGTCAAATGAGTGTGTTAATAAAATTTCGAAGAGTGCTATCTGCGAAATAATAGAATGCAGATTAATCGCGTGGAAAACTGGAAGGCACTCCTCGCTTTATAGCAATAAATGCGTTTACTTTTATCAGTTAAATAAAAATAAAATAATAATACATTTACGATGTCTATTTAACCTATTACTATTATTTTTATAATATACTGTAGAACTTTATTACTATTATTTTTAATCGATCAATTAATATTGTTTTCGGTTGCACCAAATCACATGATATCATATTTAAAAAAAGAAAAGTCCTCAACTTATCGTTATTTCGTCTATCAGCGCCCATTTCGATCGATCAAACCTACTCGGTAATAAGTCATCTTGTGTAATAAAGTTGTTCAGTTGTATGATGCTCTAGAATTACAAGGAGCATAGAACAATTGTTTGTGATGCTTGATTTTTTCCTTCACTTATTCTATTGACACACGTTTTTCATCTCTTATCGGGAAGACAACATGATCTTTCTCAATTCACTTCAAACAGGACTGCTCCGAACGCCACGTTTGGCAATACGTAACACCATGTTCACTATGTTCGTTAGAGGAATGAAAGTCAAGAGTTCAATCAAAAGACGGTGTGATGGTTGCTTTATTGTCCGAAGAAGCGGACGATTATATGTTATATGCAAGAAGAATAAGAGACACAAGCAGAGACAAGGGTAAAATCCATTGATGACCGATGTGTGGATACAACACAGAGATTCGTATGTTTCGACCAGTTGTCTCGATGTTAGTAATCTGACAACTAGTATCGGTTTAGATAACATTGCTCAACGCGCAGCGAATCAAATTAATGCGATACTGCCATAATACTGCTTGTTGTTGGTATGTCATGTCCTCTCCCGACATTTGAAGTTTTTACATCAAGCCATCTCATTTATTTCTTGTCTCTTTGGCCCAAAAGATAGCATCAAACGCTGTTGGCTCATAGAATTCTCCTGATCTATCCAGAAAGTATGGCATCCGCTTACCTTCTTCTCTCAATAATAATGGCTTGGCAAAGGACATCTTCTTGTCATATCCGGTTTCCCCTAATAAATAAAGATTCAAGAAAATTCACTACTTGTTATATGAATGTGAAATACACAGTAACCTTATTAACCTTCTCTGGTGTACAGTCTCTGACGCAGATACAAATTCTTCACGGGAACAACCCGTTTCCGATTTGGCAAGAGTTTTCTCCCTGTTTCAAACTCTGCCAGAACTCCTCCTTTTAATATCTTAATGTGAGTTATTGTCCTAATAATATACATCGTATTTAATGATTTGCAAGCAGGCTTAACACAAGTTGCAAGTAATAAATGCAATGGCTATCTTACCGGCTGGGAATTAGAATCAAACTCGCAGATGTAGCTAAACCTGCTAGTAACATGCCACCCGAGTACACCAGTCTTTTTTCGATTTGAATACTTTCAAACTTTTCTGGTTCCCTAACAAATTACGACAAAATATAATGAAACCCGCCTTGCATATTGATAGTACAACAATAACAAAATACATGCTCACGCGTACCTCTCATTTTTGAGTGATAATCTCCAGTACAAATCAGCAATGTTCGTCCTTTATTGCAAGAATTCCATCAATCTTAATCCATAACAAGATTTACTACATAATCGTCCATTTATTTACCAAAAGATAAACTGTACAACAGCAACACCATGAAATGCCCACGAAAACTTATTCGTAGATTCTGGAGCTTTATAAAATACAACGTCTTCTCTTTTTAGTCTATATCTTAGATTTCGCAGAGACCGTTTCAATGTTGCTTCATCTTGCAAAGTTAGTGATGAAAATGGTCGTGACTTCAACCATGTTGTTGAAAAACGTGTAATATGTAAGCGAATCGAATAAATAGTCCGCGAAGACAAGAATAAACGATGATGCATTGTTGTGATTAGAAAAAAGAAAAAAAAAAGAATTTCAAAACATCACCATTATTGGACAGACAAATATTTGCGTGTGTCAATTGATAATCATAATCATTCTAGTTCTTAATATTAATAATGTCTAATCAGATTCTTCTTCTTGAAGGAAGTCGTTTTCCCTCGTTTGACTTTCACTTTTCTGATTCGATTGACAACAGATTCAAAATAAATAGTAAGCCCATATTCTTGAATGCTGATGACAAAACGAACCAATTGACTTCTGAACATCATACAATACGGACATCGGAAAGTGTCTGGGATGCTGTAAGATTTTTTTTTCTACTTGAATTTGTCTTGTAAAAAGAGACTATGTTATATACGGAATTTTTCTTGGTTCAGAGTTTGATATTGGCCAAGTACCTTGAAAAGCAAGTTGAGCAAGAGCAATTGGATATCATAGGTAAAAGAGTGATTGAAGTGGTAGGAATCATCTATTTCTTTGATATTTTACGTTGTCCCATTCTCAGAATTCGCGCGTCATTCACGTTACTCGCTTTACCAATTCATTGATCAAGGGCGCTGGTAAAGCTCTTCCATCCATAGCAGCAAGTATTCTTGGTGCCGAGCAAGTGATCATAACAGATGCTCCCACTGTTGTCAGCAACATTGAAAATATTGTAAAACTCAATCGAATTTTTAATGTAGAAGTAAAGCCTCTTGATTGGACTGATAGGTGCAAATTACGTTATCAAAATGGGTCTTTTTTGCTGTTTGAATATTAAAAAACGCTCATCTTTTGAATTTTAGAGATGAATATCTTCCAGAGGTGAAGGCGGCGTGGACATTTGACTATATCCTTGCGGCGGACGTTGTATGGGTTGAGCACTTGATTGAACCGTTAACTGAAACAATAAATGGTTAAAACTTTATTTTTTCATACAAGGGGAGGAGAGGAGGGGAGTCACATCCTACATATACTTATACCCTTTTTCGACATTATCATTTTGTACAGCATTAGCTACTACTGGACACACGGTGCTTATAATGGCTCACCATACGCGTGCATTGAGATCAGACAAGTTGTTCTTTGATAACTTGGTTAAAAATGGATGGAGGTTTGAAACTATTGACCGACAACAGCACTGCTGGGAGGAAGGTTTTGTCGATAACCAGGTGGTAATATATAAGGGTATAAAATATTGACGAAAAGGATTTAGATCGAATTTATAAGATGACATTTATTATAAATAATATGTTTGTAAATTATCTAATTTATACAAGATGAGAATGCCATAATACGAACTATCTACTTCACTTTTAATTTCATTGTCTTACACTTCTATTGGATCTGGACACTCGGCGTCAGTCCACGGATTGAAACAATGTTCTGTATCAGGGTGCAATACAAAGAAGTTTTTGATATAATCTGCTACATACTCTTTAACCCCTTCGGTTGGCTTCCATTCCGTCAACGGATGTTTACGTTCGAATTTTTCAATATTGGTCAAACAACGTACATCCTGATGTACAGCAAATCTAAACGTTCTCTTACTGTCCGTACAGTAGTACTTGTGATTCGCTGCCACAAGTGTCAATATAGCCTGATCTTGTCTGTGATTATCTCGGCTGCTTCCAGGTGGAGCAATACAATTCTTTACAAGCGCACATTTCTCCCATTCATCGATGATATCTTGTACCATGTTTGTATCAAAGAGAATAACCGCACCGTTGCAATTAGAAATCCCTGCATATTTGGACTTGTTCAAGTTATAGTATTTAAATACCCCTGGATGAGTCCATCTGATAAGCGACCCTGGAGATATGGGCGACAAAAATCCACTTTGTTGATTTAATTTTGGCTTCAGCCCATTCAAAAATTTTGACGTAATGAACGTGCCCGAGTCGAGCCAGAATACAATCCCAGGATAATTTCTTGCTGTTTCAGCTACAATGATAGGCTTCCATGCATATTCTCCTCGAGAAACATTTACATTGAAATAGCTTGGATACGATCCGTAATCGAATACACGTACTTCGTCAACATAACCCCGTTTAAGCAGAATGTTGAGAATGTCTTGTTGGAAAGGAAGGAGGCCAAGATCATAAATTAATAGTCGCGGCCTCTGATGTTTTTCAAGCCGAACGCGCACTTCGTACATGTGGTATATCCAGGCGGTTAACGGACAAAAATGATTGTCACTGACTGCTGTTACGATGGTGTAAGGGAACTGCTTGTTTGCTGGCTTCTTGTATATCGATGCCGCCGTTATCCCCATTGGAATTCCGTCATTATCAGTATTGTCTTTGTCGGTAGGTCGATTTTCGTCTTCGTTAATATCCAATGCATCATCTATAATCGTATGGCCTTTGTTACCGCCATTATCGTCACTAGCATCACTAGCATCACTAGCATCACTAGCATCACCGGCATCACTAGCATCACCGGCATCACCGGCATCACTAGCATCACCGGCATCACCGGCATCACCGGCATCGGCATCATCGGCATCACCGGCATCAGCATCGCCAGCCTCGTTGCCTTCATTGACGTTGTCACCGCCAGTCTCGCTGCCTTCAATGACGTTGGCACTGTCAAAATCTTCTTCGTTTGTTATTGCATCATCGTCTATTATTACTTCAGGCCCTTGCATATCCTCATTGTTTGTTTCTTTATCTAGTGGTGTCTTGTAACCCGCCGAATCGCCTTCCTTTGTATTCTGGTAATCTATCAACTCTAGAACAAGCAAATAGAACGTTGACAGTGAGTGCGAAGCCAGGTGGTCGTGTAAGCAAGACATATAAATCTGTAAAAACTAGTAGATAGTACTAGATCTGTAGTACGAAACCTCATAAGCAACTCTGTAATCTTACCATCACTGTTCCCAGTATCATTTAACAGGCCCCATATTAAACTTCCAGTCACAACAAATGCAAATATTACTAATATTGCATAAGCTTTACGATATGAGGTTCCTACCATTATTTGTCCTGCAAAAAAAATAGTAAAGAAACGGATTTATGAAATCGTTTTATTAAGGAGATCGAATATTTGACTGTCACACCAATATAAATAGTAGAACGGATAATGCGCTAATCCCGAACGGGGTAAGAAAAGCCGGCTTAGGGTCCCAAAACGTTTGGTAACCACTAATCCGAATAAGTACTAAAAGATCGACAACAATATACTTTTTTGGAAGCAAACCGGGTTTGAATGATGCAATTTCGCGCTTTTTTTGACATCGGACATGCGCTGGGCTTGATTTCAAAATTCTCGAATAACGACATGTACAAAATTTGTTGTATGTATTTGGTGAGAATCACACTCCTTTGCTCCAAAAACCTCTGCACCTTCGTACTACATACATACATACATATATATGTATATCTTATTGTAACGTAAAATAGCCTGTGCTCAATAAAAAACACAAATTAATAAGTCACTTTGCTTTGTAGTATCTATGAATGACGATGGCTGTAAAGTGGATTGTGTGCGATTCAAGCCATGTCTTGTATGTCAATTGCACATTAGCAAAGTTGATTATCTTATACATTTATTATGTCAAAACTTGATAAATAAAATTCCTGAACACCATAAATTTGGTTAAGCTACTATATGTCAATTCAGTAAACTATCAAAAAGTAAAAGACAAAAATAGAACCTCTACAGTTAATTTAGTTTCAAATTGTTTGCCTCTTGTGGTTTTTCTCGTTACCTCTTCATGATAGGCTCCATTGATTAATACTCTTGTATATTATATCACACTAGTCCAAATAAAGTGTGTTGCGAAAAAAATGGCGTGTAAATTGAAAAATTGGGTTTCGAATAACAAAAGAAAAGCGTGTTTGTTTACGTGGTCTCTATATTTATATAGGTTTATTTACTTGTCATTAAAAGTAAACCGCCCTTTTCCTTGGCTTCTTTCTCACTTTGAACCTTGTAAACGTAGTCATCACAAAACTCGATGCACAGCGTCAGACAATTTTACATTGTTGGCTAAATCGAATTTGCTCTCCAAAGAAATACATCAAAATTTAAAGATTCCTCTTCGAACTATTCAACGTAATCTTAAAAAAAAAACGAAGATCGTTGAACATAAAGGTGGCAATGGTTGTTCGCCGTAATTCAGCCATGACAACACGTCAACCTGCAATTAAATTCAAGAAACTTATGGCGTATCTATTTTACATACTAATGTTTGGCGACACATGAAGAAAAAGGGATATAAAGGTGCCACGCGACTTGCCACCCCAATGCTTACCAGTATCATATTGATGCTCGAAAAGCATAGGCACAAGCTCAGTTGAATGATAACTGGAATTATACTATTTTACAGATAAAGCGGTCTTTGTCTTGTTTCGTAATAAAGTCACACGTTGGTACAAGAATGGAGAAAGGCCGATTAGAAATTTACCGAATTACTACAAAAGGTAATGGCTTGGGGGTGGAATTTCGATGAGTGGCAAAACATCCTTGTTTTGCTTTACAGAGATAATGGATGGTCCATTTTATGTAAATATTTTGCAAACCCAGCTTCTTCCAGTCTTATAGTAGAAGATGACATCTGCAACAAGATAACGATCTGAAGCACACTTCACGTGTTGCAAAGAATTTTTTATCCCAAAACAACATGGAGTGGCCATCTAACAATTCTGATCTGAGAATATGTGGCAGATTGTTAAAAATAATGTGGAAAAAAGAATGCCTAAAGATATTGGTGATTTATGGTAGAAGAATGGGATAAAATCTCGGGATGTTGCACAAACTTTAATTAAACTAGTATTACAAAAGAATGGGGATAGAATTTCGTATTAAATTTTTACACTTAATAAAGTAGTTTATGAGCTTTAAAATAAGTATGCTTTCATTTGTCTCTGTCGGGTAATTTTTGAGATATACAAATTTATTTACGCGCCATTTTTTTTTTTTTGCAACACACTGTATGCATAATCCTATATCAATCAACGCCTGACGAATATTTCCAAAACGCAGGATTTCTTTAGAGAGTCTGGGAAGCTTAACCCTGCAAACAGTGAGTTACTTACACTCTGTAATAGAACTTCATTGCACGTTACTCTATTTCTATTCAGCCTGATCTGCGTAGCATCAAGTATATTCTCTTTAGACAGCAAATTTCCCGAGAGAACAACGCTAGGTATTAATAACGGGAGCCGTTTACTTGCCCGACAGTCATTTGCCCACGATATGTTACTTTAATATTGTATTATTTCTTTTTAAATAAAACATTGTTACACAATATTATTATTTTAACATGAGTTATTAGCATTACAAACGGACTTTAATATCAAAAATTGATTACAATGCTTATGATACATGATAAATAACGATCGTCGGGCGAATGGCTGTCGGGCAAATGATTGTCGGGCAAATGAACTGGACCCAACCCCTTTGTCTGTAAATAGCCAATTTTGCTATTTACGTTGAAAATGATTAATTTAAAGATTTGCCTCTGTAAATTAAATAATTTACCATTTAAAGAATAAGTGTCACCAAACAATCTTAGACCTTAATTCTTGATTCAAAAACCATGAATAGTACTGCAGTCTGCTATTAAAATCTGTTAAATGCAAACCTTGAAAATTCAGTGCAATTAATATATGCATTAAACAGTAGTAGAGGAGGACAAACAAGCGACTCAGCCATCTAATTTTTCCACCAGTGTTGACGGTATGTTTATGATTTTACTCTAATGAGTTGCTGATAGCAACACAAGTCTATTTAATAGACTAAATTATTAATTTTCTTATTTTTATATTTGCATTTTAGTTTGATTTGGATAAACTATTAACTTGTCTCAAATCAAACCTCTTTATACCGATAAACTGGTTATACCGATAAAAATTACCGGTGCCACTCGTATCAGTATAACGAGGCTTGACTGTATATAGGTCTAAAAAGGAAGCCACTATTCATTTGTAACTTATGATGAAGTTCTACTAATTTAAAACAAATTGATAAATTAAAAAAAAAAATACTGGCCGCATAAAAAGTTATCACGTGCAATGATATTACGTACAATGTAACACAATAAATTGAGAATTCTCCCCAAACCATGTCGTTAACGTCAGGTGTTAATAATCCAACAATTGACAACTTGGTTCAATCTTCCTTGGAAAGTGAAAATAAATACTCAAGACTTGAATGGATTCCTTGCTCGCAACTTGCCGACATAGAATCAAGTCAAATTGACAATGTTCATTACGCTATTTACAAGCAACCGCTGTATGTTGGAGTAAAGATGATGCTTTCACTACTTGGAAATGATGAGATATGTACACCAACACTTGTGAGTGAGTTTGCTAGAATATACTCACTTCCAACACACGAGTACAATAATGATGTCAGTCAATATAGACGATATAAGAAATGGCTTACATATCGCAACAGACTAATAAAAGGATTCACCAAGTACGAAGATAATTATTACATGGTTGTTAAGAGACGCTTTTACGAATGTTCTTCTCGATATGGATTCTGCTCCGCATGTGGAATGCTCCGATGTAGTCCTGTGTGGTGCATTTGCGGTCATAAACAATTATCCAGTGGATGGACTAGCAACAATAAGCAACTCGATGAGATTATTAAGAAATCTCAATTACAAACAAACTCACCAAATGATGCCTATTTGGAATGGATTCTATACGATTGTGTTCATGATAGTCATATGAGATATGATTTGACGTATAATTTCAGTAATGGTTACGACTACTTGTATGATCTACCTACATCAACTGATGTACGTGTTAAATTGATTCCACTTGAGATAACAGACGAGACACATGATTTATATTATGCCGAGGTAAACAATTTACTTATGC